CATGCTCGGTACCGCTCAGTACATGCTCGGTACCGCTCAGTACATGCTCGGTACCGAACAAGTACATGCTCGGTACTTAGTGGTACACGCTCGGTACCGAGCAAGTACACGCTCGGTACCGAGCAAGTACACGCTCGGTACCGAGCAAGTACACGCTCGGTACCGAGCAAGTACACGCTCGGTACCGAGCAAGTACACGCTCGGTACCGAGCAAGTACACGCTCGGTACCGAGCAAGTACACGCTCGGTACCGAGCAAGTACCGCTCAGTACCGAGCAAGTACATGCTCGGTACTTAGCGGTACACGCTCGGTACCGAGCGGTACATGCTTGTTGATGAGCTACAATCTGATGATGAATGGGTTACTCCTAAGAATGCTGATGTCAAGTCTTTTTAAGTTCTTCCACTACCTTTATTAACATACAGTAAAATTTAATACATCTACTTTCTAACCGGGTCATTGGAGAGACCGTCTTTATATATGCAAACCATCTAAGGCAACTCTCTCCAGGGGCGGATCCAGCTTCTTATTTTTAGGGTGGGTAAAAAAATTTTTTTTAGCGTAGGGTATTGGGCCAAAAAATGAATTAAGGTTGATAAAATTAGGCAAAAATTTTTTGACGAGGGGGCAAAATACCCAAAATATTTCAAAAAATACCCTCTTAAAATTTTTAAAAAAAATTTTTGAGGGTGGGCTAATTTGCCCCCCCGCCCTCACTTCTATTGGGATCCGCCCATTGACTCTCTCTATCTTATCTTTCATTGGAGCTACTCCAACCTTTTACGTATATGCTCAATTCATATCATGTCTCTGAGAGTTAAAGTCACTCGTCCACACTCGAGCATTCCTCATCTCTGCAAACACTTACTTAATATTATGCTTTTTCTTTTAATGTCCAACATTTTGCACCATAAAGCATTGCAGGCTCACCACAACATCTATAGAATTTTTCACTTAAGTTAGCAGAAGAACATGTTTATCATCACAATAAGCCTAAGCCAATGGCATTCCTCCACTTCAACCATCCACTTGATCTTACTTAATAATAGATCCCATCTATTTCACCATCACTCTGAACAATTGATCCAAGATATCGAAAAATTTCTCTTATTATGACTGTCGCCCAATTCATAATCCCCCCTAGATCTATTATTACTAAAATTAACCCCGTGTTTCAGTTTTAGACCTACTCACAACGAAAGGACTTTAGACTCTTAGGGTTTGACCACCCTCCACCATTTAATTCAGTTTCCATTCAAACTTCACCTCTCTCGGTCTTATCAAAAGAAGAATATCATCAACAAAAAACAACACTCAGGTACCAACCTCTTGCAATGTCTAAGATATGGGCTTTAAGGCTGATCTTCATGTATTCCCAACTAAAATAGGAAATACTTTGGTCAAACCATCTTGTGTTTGAAGTTTGATATCAAGTAACATACTCTCCTGCATACATATTCTTAATGAGTTGATATTAGCCAAAAAAAAAAAAATAAAAAAAAACGATTTTAACCCCTTTCTTTTCTTTAGAACTCTCTATAGTAACTTCTCTTGGAACTTTATCATTTGCTTATCTAAATCAATATAATATCTATCCTAGATCCACCTTATTTCTCTCTATACTTCACATCAAACCTCATCAATAAATATATAACTTCCATAAGTGACCTACCTGGTATGAAATCCAACATTGATCTTCATAACATTTAGTAGCAACTCGCAACATTGCTCCAAACACTCTGCCATAGTTTTTAAGTAATGACATATTAACTTTAATTCCAACTGATTTAAAAAGGCGGAACTGGCGTACGCACATTAAGGCGGCGACTTAAGGCGAGGCGAAGCATTTGCGCGTGAGGCTTACGCTTGTTGGATTCGCGGAGCGGTTGCGCTTATTTTGCACGGGGCGTAGGCTTCGATTCGTAACGCAGCTCGAAGCGAAAGACAGGCACCGCTTCGATTTGTAAGTATATAGCTAGCGGTTGAAGAGTCGTATTTAAAGGTCGAGTATTAGGGTAACATACCTGCTTCTGCTTCGGGTGAGAACTGAAAGGCGCAAACTCCGCCACTTGGACGACACCAGTTCGGTCAAGTTTCCGAACATAGCTGGGGATCGCAGATGAGGTAACGATTTATTTCTTCTTCTTTCTCCTTGCTTCCCTGTAATCTTCCGTCATTTGCTTCATGTCTCACTTCTTTTCTCCAGCTTCTTGTATCGAATGTTCTTTTTTTCGACGGCTAGGTAACGATCTTTTCTTCCGTTATTTGCTTAATGTTCTCGCTTCATCAGATTGGACATGCTCGGTACGTCGTCATGCTCGGAGTAGTACGATGCTCGGTACCGAACTAACATGTGCTATCTCTGTGTACGACAAGACATGTCGGTAATCTGAGTGGTACATCGCTACGCGTAAGTCGTACCGAAGCATAACGCTGTAACGAGCGAACATCGGTACCTGACCGGCAGAGTGGTATTCGGAAGGGGCTTTCCGGGGGCAGCGCCCCCGAAACAAAATTATATTATAAGAGTATTTTGAAATTCTTGGCTTGTTGTAATATGCTCATCCAGCATCTGTCCACTCAGTCCAGCGCTGTTACCGAGCACTGTATCCGCTCGAGTACCAAGCCGCCGAGCGTGTACTGGCTTCGTACCGGGAGCGTGTACCCACTAAGTACCGAGCATGTACTTGTTCCCAGGTTAGCCGGAGCGATGTACTGACGCGGGTACCGAGCATTGTCAATCTGATATGGCGAGACATGAGCAATAGGGAAGAAAGATCGTTACCTAGCGTGAAAAAAAGAACTTCGATTACAAGAAGCTGGTAGAAGTGAGAAGCGTAGACCATGAAGCAAATGACTCGGAAGATTACGGGAAGCAAGAGAAGAAGAAGAAATAAACCGTTACCTTCGATCGCCTCCAGCATGTTCGAACTCGACCGAAATGCTGGGTCGTCCAGTTGGCGGAGTTCGCCTTTTCAGTTCTCACCCAAGCAAGCAAGGCAGGTATGTTACCCTCTCACTTATCACTCTCACCTGCTAGATCTATATACTTACCAAATCGAAGCGGTGCCCTGGCGTTCGCTTCGACGGCGTTAAATATTAGCATAAATTCTAATTATTTTAATATGATAGTGTAATCTAAACAGCATGTTATTAATTAAATAATGAATTTATTTATATCAAATAGACATTAAAATTTCAAGAAGCGCTTTCTAAGAAACTATTTGCACCGATACAGATACGGCGACACAAGATACAACAACGATACGGATACGGGACAAGCGTCAAATTCCTTAAAAATACAGGATACGGGTTTTACGCAGCGCAGAAACGACATTATAATTTTATAAATCCATACATAAAAATTAAAAAAGTGCAATCAAAGCCATAACATTTGAAATGTACAAAAAAAAAAAAGAA